ATGGAGTTAAACAGGGGTGCTGCGCCAGTCCACTTCTTTTTGTCCTTGTAGTTGAATTGATGGCCATAAAAATAAGAAGTAATAAAGATATAAACGGTCTGTCATTACAGAGAAGTGAAAGGACAGTGCATCTGGGTAAGATTCTTCAATTCGCAGATGATACTACGCTGTTATTGAGAGACCAACATGATCTTGTTGTTGCCCTCAGGAACATTGATAACTTCTCTAGGATTTCGGGCCTGAGACTCAATAAGCTGAAATCAAAGGACATGTGGATAGGTAGGAGTAAACATAATGATCAGACTGCAGGGAATATTGCCTGGATGGCAACTGGTGGCAAAATGAAGATACTTGGGATTTATTTTAGTGCAGTCGAGGAGGCTTCTAAAATTGATCTAAATTGGAAAGGAAAGTTAGAAACAATTAAAAATATCATGAAAATGTGGCAAAAGAGAAACCATTCACTCTATGGAAAGGTAATACTCTGTAAGACTTTCTTGCTGTCGCAAATTTCGTATATCATGCAAGCACTGTTTTTACCTGACGAGGTCACTAGCTACATTGACACACTGTTTTTACCTGACGAGGTCACTAGCTACATTGACACACTGTTTTTCAAATTTTTATGGCAGACAAAGTTCTCGAACCGAAAGGCTAAGGAGAAGATTAAAAGAACAGCCATTTGCAAGTCTGTAGAAAAGGGAGGGTTAGGTATGATCAGGGTGCGTGGTCAACAAAAAGTGTTCTTATTGAAATGGATGAAGCGTCTAGCAATAAGCAAAAGTTTAGCTGAGGACGAGATGCAAATTACAGACATCATTTTTAATCAACTTGGTGGTCTAAAGTACTTTTTAACCTTTTCGCATCACGCCGCACCACATTGGCCCGCTATTTTTATATTACCTCGGAACGTACCGCTCCTCTTTGGCGCGCGCTATTTCACAACCTTTCACGACGGGACGCGCCACCCTGGATTCCCCTACTTGTGCATGCTACAAAAAGTTTGCCTTTTCGTTTTTCATTTTCAAAACTTTCAAAAAGTATTCAGATACCATTTTGGAATTGTTTCTTGCTGTCAGAAGTTGAGTTGCTTGAACACTTTTCGATTTACCGGCGAATTTCTGAGG